GGTGTGTCACGGCGAGACGGGCAAAGTGAGTGAGCGACACGTGGGTGCGGTGTGTCACGGCTAGACGGGCAAAGTGAGCGAGAGATGCGTGGGCACGGTGTCGCGGCGAGACGGGCAAAGTGTGTGAGCGACACGTGGGCGCGGTGTGTTGTGGCGAGACTGCGGCAAAGCGAGTGAGTGCCGTGTGGGTGCAGTTTGTTGTGGCGAGAGCGCTGCCTGGGTCTTTTGTGGTTCGTTGAGTCGGAGGTGATGCAGTTCATTTGTGTGAGATACATTGTGTTATTTACTGCTAATATTTACTATGGGGGAGGTGGGGGTTCCTATTCTTGTTGACTTTAATCAATGACATTGGTAAAGAAGTCATTCGTGCAGTTTGGCATGAGATTCACTCTTTAACCATCTGAAATTTAAGGGTTAATGTCTGTCAGCTGCACTGACACTTCATATGTTGTCCATCTTCTGTATCTGTTTATCTAGTACAGGGTTACATTGAATCTGGAGCCCATCCTGGGAAACATGCAGTGCAAGCTAGAGGACACCATGAAAGAGGAGGATGCCAGTTACAGTCACACACAGAGGGCAGTTTATGGGCCAGTTCAATTAAGGGCAGACACCCATAGGAATAACTCCACACTGTCAGCTGTCGGCAGCTCCCCGTAACTGTGAGGACACAGCACTGCGCACTGGCCCATGATGCCCCCCTACTTTTAGGGAATTTTGTCAAACACAGTATTATGTTAAATTTTAAGTTAGGTGAGGTTTACAAATCATCACCCCTTTCAGCTGGGTGTAATCTTTTGCATGTGTTTAAATGGCATTTCTTCAAGCCACTGTTCTACGTGAATTATTGCAATAAAGCTTATCAAAACTAATTCTTTATGTTCCTCCACAATTAATCATTTATCCAGCTGCCCCTTTCGGCAGTATTCATTTTGTTTTTTCACAGTACAGTACTGTGCAATTACAATAAGTGTACAAAGCCGTCTAGTTATCGTGTTAAATTTCATTAAGGCAGACACTTCTGTGGTGTAGTGTTTTCTATATACCTACTCCACAGATTTCATTTCAGACTTAGAACACATTGTAGCCAATTGAAGTACTGATATATATTACAGATTTCACTCTGTTCGAACCTGGGACATTACGTGTAGCCTCAGCGAGATGCTATGAAAGGACATTATCCATTTTTGTAATTGGTATAACTTAAAATGTTTTCAGTATTTCCAAGCCAATGCTGTAAGACTCGATACTTCTATGAAAGATTAATTCTTAAGCATTACAGTTAAACATTTTGCATTGTGTGGTAATGACCACTAAATTCAGTTAGCGTTATAAAATTAGGAGCTTCTCACCGGTAAAATATATATATTTTTTGGGTTCTCTTGGAACTACTATGCTTATGAGATTACATGCTAACAAAGAATGCATTATTGGTATTTTATGTAGTAATACCTTTCAAGAACAGTCACACATGAATAAAAGGCCTGTCTGTATGAATAAATTAATTAGTATTAATAAATATATATGTAAAAAGTGTAACTAGCATGGTGGCTTGCAGGTTAGGGCTGCTGCCTCACACTTTCAGGCATCCCATCCCTCCTGCTGCGTCCTTTCCTCCAATATTCCAGAGAAATGCAGTTTGGGTAATTGGCATCTCTGAATTGCCCACAGTGCCTGAGTGCGTGTGCGTGTATGTGCCCCGAGAAAGACTGTCATCCTGTCCCGGCCGTCTGCCCTCTGCTGCCTGCGACAGCCTCCGGGCCCCGTGTCACCGTGACCAGGATAAGTAGTCAGGAGATGGATGCATAAAGTAGAGAGAGCTAAGATTTATTTTAAAGGAATGTAGCAGAAGCGCTACTACAGTTTGAGCATTTGTCTAGTTATTCCTGGGAAATTTAGGAGTTTAATAATAAAGAGGCACACTTACGCACGGCTGGAATAAAGAAGGGAAAGTCTCAGTGACTAAGCTGTGATTACACATTGATTCATTTCCTTTCAGGCTGACCTTCCTGTAGTGTTATTTGGACAATGATATTTCAAAGGCTACGTAAAATGTATTTAACTTGAAAAACCTGAATTCTGTTTGGTTGTATAGTACAGCTTTAAGAATTAATTGAAAACAGGCTTGTAATTTTATGTTTTAATTTGCTCAATATATGTATTTTTTATATATATACTTTGTTAAGGTTTTTCTTTTGTTTTTGTTGGTTTTAGCACTAGATTGTTTGTTTAGGTAGGTCTTGATTTTATGTTTAATGTGTTAATATTAAAAACACAAGGCCAAGAACAAGCTAAGTCCTACTGCTCAGGTGAAGTGCTGTGGCTAATGTCATCTTCAGCTTCTAACATCCTGAGTGATGCATTGGGCTCCGTTAGCTAAACACGTACACCTAGCCACTCTGGTCTGATTTGGCAGCAGACCTGACAGGAACATGCATTAGCAGTTAGCAGGGTTCACTTGTATATCACTTACATCTGCCATTCAGTGTTCATGGTGTAGTAGCGCACATGTTGAGCTTTAGTCTTCGGCGATCCCAGGTCAGACGAGCGCAGATGACTAAATGCAGCAAGAGAAAAAATTAACATTAAAAACAAATTCGACTTGTATATTTAAGGGCCGTTTAAAACTGCTCTTTAGGAAAGCAATTACAAAGTCCAGTGAGCTGGATCAGAAACGTTGTCAAATGTTGAAATTACGTTCTTAATCATTAAAGCATGCATTTTATTAAATCCATTTTGTCTCTTTTTAAGTAGCTCCTGTGAGTTTCTGAATTCCTGTTGCAGGTTTTTTACTTTCAGAATTTGTTCATTTTAAGGTTTAAATTAAAGAAAATTTGCTGTAGAAAATTCATTTCCGGTATAGGCATGTGCCCTTTTTATGGTGTGTGTGTGTGTGTGTGTGTGTATGTGTGTGTGTGTGAGTGAGTGAGTGACACAGAGGTATGTGTCGCTTGGCATCCGGGTTACATTCTGTTCCACAGGACATTAGATGACTTGGACACTATGCGAACATCATAACTATTCACATTAAAATAACAACAAAAGTACAGTAAGGAAAATTTATGAATGCGTAACATAGATGTTTATTATCGCTATCAAGTATTATGGGTATTATAAGATAGATGTGTACTGTACCGTGATACAGCTGGCAGTGACGGCTGGTCGCTTTGCTTTCAGCAGCTACGCATGGTGCATTACGGCCTCTTACCTCTGCTGTGTCTGGTTAGCCGATTGGGATTTGGGTAACCTTCAGGGACCTTGGATGTAAATGCAGTCGGACACATAACTATATATATGTACTGCCGATATTTCACGTTAATCTCTGTCATTTGTGAACCACTGTGTCGCAGGGCATGGCCTGCGTGGGTCGTACAAAGGAGTGCACCATCGTCCCCTCCAACCACTACGGGCCCGTCCCGGGCATTCCCGTCGGAACCACATGGAAATTCCGTGTGCAGGTGAGTTCTGTGGATTGTGTGACTGCTTAATTAAACTATTCTTCCTTTGGCAGGTGTGCATCCCCTGTCTAAGTTAATTGATTAATAATAATAATAATAATAATAATAATAAAGCAAATCAGTGAGACTTTATTTTGTAGAGCAGAATGATGTATAAATAGTGCTCTGAAAGTCTTGGTGGATGAGATGATTACGTGTATTAAATGGATGACTGATTTAACCCAGTCCCTATTGATTCCCACTGGGTTAGACCAAGCATTGACAGCCCATAATAATCGCACTCGCATTGGGTTTCAAGGCTTTATTTGTCATATCACTATTATCGGTGGTGTATTTTATGAAGTATATTGTATGTAGTGGTTTTGACTTACCGCCGTTTTTGTTGCCCTGTAGCTATTTGCGTATTCATGTCATTGTCTGGCTTTTAAACTACCCTCTACTCTTTTTTTTTTATTTCCTTTTATTCGCCCCCCCCCCCCCCCCATCCATCTGCACGGCCCACCCTCCTCCTGTGTCTCTCCCTCATTCCCGCACTATCAGGTTAGCGAGGCTGGAGTGCACCGACCCCACGTGGGAGGCATCCACGGCCGCAGCAACGACGGCTCCTACTCGCTGGTGCTGGCCGGGGGCTTTGAGGACGAAGTGGTGGGTGTCGGCGACGGAGCCGGTCGGAGCGGGTCTCCGGGAGCGGCCAAGCGGCGCCGCGCGCGTCTCTCCGCTGCTGTGCCGGGTCCTCTGATCTGCTATGCTGTTTGTTCTGCCTGCTCGTTACTGGGGAAGCTGAGGCAGACGAATGCCCACCCCCCCCTCCCATACCTTTGTTCACCCCGCCGTCTCTCTTTGCTGCAGTCTCTCTCTGTATTCCAGTTTGTACCTGGATCTGAGGCCCACTGTTCAGCTCTGCTAAGCTACTGTTGTAAAGCGGCGCAAGTCGCCCTCTTGAGGACAAAGAGAGCATAGCATACTCCTGACAAACTGAACGCTTATTTTTATTGATGGAAAATCAAAGAATCTATTCTGTTAGATACAATGATGGTGACATGGTCTTAAACCCATATGGTGAAAAGGTCCACAATTATCTTACTCGCATTTGGTTTGTAGAGATCCTTTCTTCTATCAGTAATATGTTTATAGCTATTGATTACATCATTTACAAATTAAGTTAAATTGGGGTTTAAGTCAGATTTTATGTTTGTATAAAAAGTAGATATTTATGTTCATTTATTCAAAGGTCCTTGTCATCTTTTCTTTGGCTCCTCTGCGCCACAATGAAATCCAATGTCACTTTCCCCTCGAAATACGAAAATGATCTATGTTCCTCACCAAAGAGAATGAAAATGGAAATATTTTTAAATTTTGGTGTTCTCCCAAACTGACTAGTCTGATAGTCGCTGCTTGTCATCCCTTAGACATAAAGGAAATTGCTGACTAATGGTATAAAGCAGTGTTTCCCAGTCCACCCCAAGGGGCCCCACAGACGGTGCCGGGGCTGGGAGGGAGCAAAAATGTGGACCGTCGGTGGGGCCCCTAGGGCCGCGGGGGCAAACATGTTATAGGGTGAAGTACTATTAATAGCTCTTAAAAGTTATCTCATCTCCACTCTGGTCCCAGTCTGCAGCTTCTCTTGTGTTTAAATTCGCTTGAAGAAAAAAAATCTGTGAGAACTCATGGGGAGCTCCTATGAGAGGAGCCGCTTCGTGTCGGGTGTTACACGTGGTGTATTTCTCTCCTGCGTCAGTAATTTATAGCCTCATCCTGTCGAGCACGATGTATACTGAACAGCGTAAACTAGCTTAGAAAATAAAGGCCATGCATCGGATCAGCAAACGTCAAGCACGCATTTCTAAGGCGCATTCATGTCAGATTAACTAGTGCTTCCTGCGTTTTTCTCCTTTAGGACAGAGGTGATGAGTTCACGTACACGGGCAGTGGGGGTCGTGACCTTTCAGGGAACAAGCGCATTGGGGAGCATTCCTTTGACCAGACCCTGACTCACATGAACAGGTACTTTCTGAGAATGTTTAAATGTAGCAGAGCAGCAGAAAATACCCCCATAATAGATTATTAATTGTTAAGAATGTAAAGCAGCTCTTTTTACCTACAGTATGAAAACAAATAATCATAATAATTTATCTGTCAATTCCAATAGTTTTCCTTTTTGTTTTGTTCTTTGTCAGCCAAAACGGCTGTCCTGAATTTATGCTCTGCCTGCCAGGCATGTTGAATCTCGAGGGCATCCATAAATTCCCGCATCCTCCTCTCCCAGTATGACGTGGATCTGTCCGCTGTCCCACCAGCCGCAAATCCTACTGGGACATTTGAGACGTCATGTGACTCCTTGTTTCGGCCAACCCGGGGAGTTTCCTCTTCTCACAGGGCCCTGGCGCTGAATTGCGACGCTCCGCTGAATGATAAGGATGGGGCGGAGTCCCGGAACTGGCGGGCGGGGAAACCGGTGCGTGTGGTGCGCAGCTCCAAGGGCCGCCGCATCAGCAAGTACGCGCCGGAGGAGGGCAACCGATACGACGGCATCTACAAGGTGCGCTAAGCTTGGGGTCTCTCTGATTCACTCACTCAAGGTAGATGGTCCATGCCACACACAACCAAGTCATCCGTCCGTCTGTGCATCCATCCATCCATCCATCCATCCATCCATTTTCTGCCTCTTATCTGGGGGCGTGGGGGCAGCAGTCTAAGCAGGGATGCCCAGACCTCCCTCTCACCAGCCACCTCCTCGAGCTCCTCCCGGGGGGGTACCAAGGCTTTCCCAGGCCAGCTGGGAGGAGTAATCTCTCCAGTGTGGCCTGGGTCTGCCCCGGGGCCTCCTCCTGGTTGGAAATATCCGAAACACCTCCACAGGAGGTGTCCTACATAGATGCCCGAACCACCTCAAGTGGCTCCTTTTGATGCAGAGAAGCAGCATCTCTACTTAGCATCTCTGCCACCTGCAGGGGGAGCCGCTGGCTTCGGGTGCAGCGTAGATCAGGTGGCAATCGAAGGCAGGGGCCTCGACGGACCAATCGTCAGCCAAGCGAACGAGTAAATTAAGTGAAATTAAACAAAACCAGAGAAGCAAACGGTGGCTAAAAGCGGTCCCTTCATCTTTTTTCGTGTCTAATGTCCGAAGACGGCCATGAGCACTGTTGGCATAGAATGGCAGTGAAAGTTCATACATGTTTGTATTCCACCATAGCCTGTACTGAATAATTAATTATCACTATAATAAATGTCAGCTTTTAATAGTGTATTTCCAATGATCATAAAATTAAACTTTTCATTAAAGTACCTTATATGACAGCAAGAGCAAATAATAAAAATCCCACTTCTTGTGATAAACAGATTAGTTCCATTTCTGGGTGCTGATTAGCTTAAATATATTTGCTGCGCAAGCGAATGCTTCTGTTCAGCTGCTAATGTGGCACTAGGTTAATAAAAAGTGACATCATGGTTTGTGATGTGTGCCTATTGGCAGCCTTCAGCTGTGATATTATTCATGAATCTGTTGTGCATTATAGTTGCTCTTTTTGAAGCTTACATTAAATATTATTAAATATTAAAAACTCAGGATCTATTAGGTAATATGTGTTTCAGTGAATATCAGATGAAGAATGCTTAAAAATTATGTAAAGTAATTGTTTACATTTCCAGGAAATACAGTACTCACACATTTTACGTGCTTATTTGGTTCCACATCCCACCGCGATATTCTTAAACCTCATTAGACTTTGAATACACATCTATTCCCAACCAGTGGTTTACTTTAAACTTTGAACAGCCAGCATGCTGACACAAACACCACTCAATCCATGCCACAATTTGAAATTGTGTATTTTGGTTAGTTTTAAAGATTTTCATTTATTATATATATTTTTGAATCGCGATTGTTCAAAACCGCACTAGATCAAAAACTGCTTAAGATGCAGACCGACTGTAATTCTTTCCAAAGAGGCTTACTTAGTCATTTAGTTTGGTGTTTTTACTTTTTATGCTTTTAAGGAGAGCTTCTGTGCATGGGGAAAAAAACTGGAGTGATTTATGTGAACAGTAGGAAGACATGTTAAGATCTGCAGTGTTGGGGTTACAGGGAAGTGTGGAGGTTTCTCTGGTGATGTAATCAGCCTGAGTAAACAGCACCTGGATGGTAGTTTGGATGCTTGCATTTCTATCATTCAAAACTAAATGTACAGAGAAGGAGATTATATAACATGCATCATGTAGAATGGTATGTGGAATTTGGAGGAAAAAAAGCTCCTTATCTGATCTTTCTGAGTCCACTCCCCAAAACATTGAATTGAACGACAATTTCACAGAAAAGACCACAGCCCAATTTTTTGTTTCTCTTATTCCTCAATGTACGAGTGTCTGTCTGTGAATAGTGAATAGCACATTTTTCTGTTTCTCATTAATGAAGGGCTTCTTCCTTGCTTTATGGGTCTTCAGTCCTCCTTCTAGGAGCCTGATACAAACTATCCTAGCAGTGCACTTCACACCTGCACTTAATGCTTCCCATTCCTTTTAAAGGTCACTTCATGAGAAACCATCGGATAAGTTAACAGTCATCTATTGCATTAGAAAGTCACTTCCACCCTTTACCTGACTGGTTTCTGGTCATTCCCAGTGTCTCCTGCTTCACCTCATTCTTCTGTACTGCTGTCCTATAAATTTTGAACCTGGAAGCATCCTGCTGCTTAGCGTAGCTTCTGCCAGAAGAAGCACGATTAAACCAGGATTTAGAAATGCAAATTTGTTTAAAAATAGAGTGGTCTCTTAATTTTTTCCAAGGCTGTATACGTCTTGCTTTTATGACCAGTCTGACAAATCTCATTTTGATCTCCTGCATACAAATTGAGCCATTGCTGTTTAACGTGTAACAAGATGCCCTTTCTCTAATCACCATTAACCGCATCGGAATAAACCTTAAAAGCCAGTTAACTGTCATACTGGAGATAGCCACTGTAAATTTTTGCATATGAAAATCAAATGGAGTGACAGTAAGGTGTGTATGCTCGTAAAAATGCTTGATGTGGATCTAACTCATGCTGTTATATTGTGTGTATTTTATGATATATATTTTTATGTGCTGCAGTAGTTAGAATGCAGGAGACACGTGATTTGATGTGGTCTTAAAAGCAATGCATTGTCTTTCAGTCTTTGTAGTGCTCTTTCTAGGTTGAAGAGAGTGACAGTTTAAAATATTCAGTCTTAGGAGTTGTGGTGTGATAGCTTGTAGCAGGTAACCACAGGCCCTTCCTGGGCTGGGAGGGGAATTCGCTTGAGTGACTTTGATGGTTTGGGGAAAGGAAGCACAGAGGGGCCATATTTCATGGGAAATTAAATGGATCACATACTGCTTTAGATTCCTCTCCGCTCTCGGATGTGAATTACGCATGGCAGTGTGTTTCTGTATCTTTATTATGTTCCAGGATGTCTAGGGATGTCAGTGTTAAGATTCTGAGAATATGAGCCGTAATTGGTTCCCTCCCCCTGCACCCAAAAAACAAAACAAAAGTCTTTAACATAAGTTAAATAATAGGTCTTAAAATACATTAGGTATTTAATAAAAATTTAACCTGGAAAATGTATTTAGGATATTTGTATTGTTGATGATACTTAATGTAACTCTTAATGGCAAACATCACACACACTTAATGTATTGGGACACACCTCTTAATCACTGAATTCAGGTGTTTCATTGAGACTTGTTGCCACAGGTGTAAACAATCATGCACCTAGCCATGCAGTCAGGTTTACAAACATTTACGAAAGAATAGGTTGTTCTGAAGAGCTCAGTGAATTCAAGCGTAGTGCTGTCATAGGATGCCACCTTTGAAATAAGTCAGGTCATGAAATTTCTGCTAGATATTCCAACTGTAAGTGGTATTATTGCAAAGTGGAAGCCTTTAGGAACAACAGAAGCCGAGTGCTGAGGCGCATAGTGCATAAAAGTCACCAACTCTATGTTGACTTGATAACTGCGGGGTTCCAAACTTGCTCTGGCATTAACTCCAGCACAAAAACTGCACACCGAGAGCTTCATGGAATGGGCTTCCATGGCTGAGCAGCTCCATGCAGGCCTCATATCACCAAGCGCAGTGCCAAGCGTCAGATGCAGTGGTGTAAAGCACATCGCCACTGGGCTCTGGAGCAGCGGAAACGTGTTTAGTGGAGTGATGAATCACACTCCTCTGTCTGGCAGTCTGATGGATCAGTCTGGGTTTGGTAGATGCCAGGAGAACATTACCTGCCTGACTGCATTGTGCCAAATGTAAAGTTTGGTGGAGGAGGGATAATGGTATGGGGTTGTGTATCAAGGGTTGGGTTTAGGCCCCTTAGTTTCAGTGAAGGGAACTCTTAATGCTTCAGCACACCAAGACATTTTGGACAATTCAATGCTTCCAACATTGTTGGAAGAATTTGAGGAAGGCCCTTTTCTGTTCCAGCATGTCTGTGCCCCAGTGCATTAAGCAACGTCCATAAAGACATGGTTGGGTGAGTTTGGTGTGGAAGAACTTGACTGGCACAGAGCCCTGACCTCAACCCCGCTGAACATTCTTTGGGATGAGCTAAAACGGAGATTGCAAGCCAGATTTTTTCATCCAACATCAGTGCCTGACCTGACAAATGCTCTTCTTGGAATTTGAACAAAAATTCCCGCACACACACTCCAAAATCTTGAGGAAAGCCTTCCCAGAAGAGTGGCAGCTGTTATAGCTGCAAAGGGTGGTCAACTCCATATTGATGCCTATGGATTTAGAATGGGATGTCATAAAAATTCCTGTAGGTGTCACAATACTTCTTTCCATATAGTGTATGTCTTTGTAGATGTATAAGAGGAAAAAAAAGTTCCTTTGTTAAGTAAGCCCTTAGATGGAGGCATCTCCAGGGTAACAAAAATAAATGACAGAGACACGTATGACTCTCTAGGTAATGCAGATAATCGAGCCGTGGTTCTGGAGCCCAGTTGTGTAAATTCTGCAGTATCGGTGTGCCGCAGGTGGTGAAGTATTGGCCTGAGATTGGGAAGTGTGGCTTCCTGGTGTGGAGGTACCTGCTGCGGCGAGACGACCTGGAACCGGCGCCGTGGACGCCTGAGGGGGCCGAGCGCATCAAGAAGCTGGGGCTCGTGGTGCAGGTGAATCCCTCAGTTGCTCTCTGTAGGTAGATAGCCTGAAGTAGTTATGCTTGCATGCTAAATTCACTTCATTTATCTATGGCAGTGTTTCCCGATCTGGTCGTCGGGGACCTGCAGACATACCCTGCAGTCTGCACCAAAAACGTCGGCTGTCGGCGGGTCCCCCAGGACCGGACTTGGAAACACTAATTTATGCGTTTTTTTATGCCTTGTTTTCATTCGTGTTATATGTTTAACATAAATACTTTAAGTTTTTTCGTGAAGAAATAACTTACATTTGTCCGGACGCCAGCTTTTTGGTACTATACAGACTTTTGCTTATGGCGAAAATCTGGTAAGCAGATTAGTAGTACGGCTAAAATATTAACGAGATGCGTATTGCGATGTCCAAAAGTTAGTAATCTGTATCAGAGCATGTGAGCGGAGTGGAGCGGTGAGAATTTCCGCTCCTCGCTCACGAGGCTGTTGGCTCCGCCCGCTCCTCCGCTCTAATTCACACTAAGCCGCTCCGCTCAACACCGCTCCTCGCTCCACTAAAATTTCCTCCCGCTCCAGTCAAATCGCTCCACGCTCGCTCCAATTTAAAAGAGGGACAAATAATCTGCATGCCTAACAACTGTCACCTTAAACCGATGCCTTATATCATAAAGAAATGTGAGCAACGGCACTCAGAACAGAAAATATTTATTTTTAAACAACATATAGGCAACAACTGACAGGTTTGGCAATGGCATTCCACATAAAATAAACTTAAAAATAAAGGAATCAGTGGGCTTAATAGCCTAAAGAATATACAGGCTAAGCGCATCCACGTTTTAAATTCCTCAGTCATTTTCTGTTGATGCTGCTGCTGCGTCTCTCTCTATAAAATAAAATTTCACTGACAGCGTTAAGTGAATTTTAAAAATCCTGTTAGACCTAATTTGAATGATAAACTAATTTATTTGATTACCAAATTATAGGCTTTTATACTTTTATTTACTTTATAGACTTGATATGCTACAACCATATAAAACTTGCTCGCGTTTTGCTCTGGCCTCCGCGTGTTCGCGTAGCACACTTTCATGTTTCCGAGAAAGGTCTTTTTACATTCCAAAGCGGATCTAAATCTTGATAATTGTATAGATGAATTCTGGGAAGATTTGCGCACGCCTCAGAGTCGTAGTGTGAGTGGTATCGGAGCGACATTGGAGTGAGACAGAGTGACCGCTCCAGCCTTAATTAAAAAACCGCTCTGCGCTCTGACCAAATTCCGCCCGCTCCGCTCCTCGCTCACGCTCCACTCCGCTCACATGCTCTGATCTGTATACATTCAGCATATCCTTATGCTTATTAAATTTGGAGCGCCACATGCTACTGTTTTGGTAAGTCATGGAAGCAATAATTACTGAGATGGTGGTGAAGAAAGGGACAACTCAGCAGCCACAAATAAGCCACAAAGAAAGAACATTAATCATGAATTCCATTCTATGCTGAGTGCTTTCCATCCTATGTTTTCTTCAACACAAAAAATTTGCACAGTGATGATGAAAGTGTTCTTGGGCCAGGATCCTTAAGTGCAATGTGAGCGCAGACCAGCAGGGGAGGGAGGAGGGATGAGGGGGAAGTGGGGACAATTATACTCGAGCACGGTGCAAGGCAACTGCACCGTGCAAGTGTTTTCCGAGCGAATATAAACCGTATGGAAATTCATTCTGTGATTAAAAGAAAAAAGGAAATCTTAGGAATTCTGTTACCTCATAGTACCCACCTGGTTACCTGGAAGCGATGGCTAACAAGACCAAGAAAGAGGCTGCCGTTCGGGGCAGCGGACGAGGGAAGAGGTACTCTGGGAGAGGACGGCCGAGATCGGGCCCGGAGAAGAAGGCGAAAGTTAAAAAGGGCGATGGGGCTCCAGAAAAAGACAGAGGACCGCAGAGTAATGGGGGCCAGAAGGTGTCCAGGGAAAAAGGTACCACTTCTGGCTGATACTAGCTTTTCATGGGAGAGTAGCTTCGTTCTGCATGAAAGACCAGATACGATATACGTAATAAGCTATTACATGTGCAGCTTGAGAAGTGCTTAATGTGGTTTTCAATAGACTTTTATTATTGTCTATAGTCTATATAAGCCTTGGCAAACAAGGAGGCTTCATCTCAGATCTTTAATACGCCATTTTCTTCTGAGGCCGGTAGTATGGAACCCCTGCCCCTTGTAGTAGGGAACAGTAACGGATAGCAGTTACATATCAGATCTGAGGGACAGCTTTGGCCTCATTATGCTTCCCCTCATTAATGAAATTATTTGCAAAGTAGTGCAGGATGATACTTAGGAATGCAGCCAGATGCTGGCCGACGTGAGGTTAACATTTTACGAATCGAACATTGTAACAGTGTTTCTCAACCCGTCCTTGGGGATCCCCAGACAGCAGGCAATTATTGATAGGGAGCTGGGAGGGATCAGAAACGTGGACGGTCTTCGGGTCCCCGAGGACCGAGTTGGGAAACACTGTAGTGACATTCAGTTGTGGCTGGATCACCTCAGTATTAAAGTTGTGTTACCCTCGACAGAGGTGCCTGTGGACGAGCCCGCGGTGAAGCGGCTGAAGGGGGTGGAGCCATTTCATCTCTCCGAGCAGCAGCGAGCTCTCATTCAAGAGGACGAACTGAACAGGAAGCTTTGGGAGGAGGCCATGAACTACCTATTGGAGGGGCCTGTAATATTCTCATTTAGAATTCATCTGTGCTTTTGTCATGTAGGAACTATGTAGACCCAGGGAGTTTACACACATGCTGGTAAAAGAGGGAAAATTAGCAGTGGATGTTATTAAAATGATAACAAAGCAGCAGGATTCTGGGTAAAAGTGATCTGAGTAATATCAGGTATTAATTTTTTTTTAAATGAGACACAAAACTGAATCAACACACAAGGAAATGGTTTGAATTTGACTTTAAGTGCTTCCATAGTCCATTTCGGAGGAGAAATTGATGCCGCATGCAGTTTCTATGGTGATGGCTGCACGTTGTCTGCCTGTTTCAGAACTTCCTGAAGAAGGTGGAGCAGCTCTTCATGTGCGTCTGCTGCCAGGAGCTGGCCTTCCAGCCCGTCACCACTGTGTGTCTCCACAATGTCTGCAAGGTAGGTACAGAGAGAGCAGCTTTTCCACACATTTTACACCTGCAGTATTACATGTGGTGTAAACGCAGACAGCACAGTCATACATTCCTCAATAAACACATACGTTCAGTTAAACAGCAGTTCAGTTTCATACGTCACACCACGGCTTATAGAGATTGGATGTGGTAAACTTTGCATCCTCTTCCTGACAGTTTTGGTTTTGATAGCTCATTCAATTAATGACATTGAATTATCTAGTGAACCTGTTCAGAAAGACCTGCTTCTGTCATCTTCTTTTCTTTGAAAACCACCTGATATTACTTTGGTATGATTTGTTTTTATGTCAGAACAATTTTCAAGATATTCCCATATTAGAATGGCAAAAATAGTGAATAGTTAGACTTTCATGTGGCAGAAATGAGATCACCCATATGTCTGGAGTTTGCTTCTTTAAAGCAGTGTTTCTAAACCTGGCCCTCCCAGCTCTCCCTGCCAGACAGTCCACATTTTTGCTCCCTCAGGGAGCTGGGAAGGAGCAAAAACGTGGACTGTCTGGGGGTCCGGGTTGAGAGAGACTGTGGTAGAGTTCTCACTTTTTCTCAAAACTGTACCAAAATGCATCTTCTCTAGAAGCTCAGGATTACCAAGCACTGAGTGACACCTGTAACTGGCCGTAACGCCTGTCCTTGTTCCCGCCCAGACCTGCTTGCAGAGATCATTCCGTGCAGAGGTGTACACTTGTCCAGCTTGCCGCCACGACCTGGGCAAGGACTATGTGATGATCCTCAATAAAACACTACAGGTGCTGCTAGACCAGTTCTTCCCGGGGTACAGCAAGGGACGATGAGTCACCACTGTCGCACACGTACGCACTCAGACACACGCACACTCAGACCATCACCACACACGTACACAGGAACACAGAGCCACAGCTAATCCGCACCAACAGAAACACCCTGCCCGTCCTATGGCTGACTGCCCTTCAACCTGGATTCCATTTCACCTTCCTTTCTTGAGGACACCACTCCTCCTTACTTTTCCCAGGACAATGCAGGTGTCACTTCCTATAAAGCCAGTTTATTACCCTTCCCTTCCTGACTGTAAATACCGGACTTGCTCAACCCACACTGTGCGGCTGTAACCTTGACGAGACGTAGACCAACAACGAAACAGCCGAAAAAGTCCATGATGTAACAGTCTGCGCCGGATGCCGCTCTGCTTAAGGTCACCCTCCCCATGTGTCCTCGTCTACTTACCTGGTCCAAAACCCTTCAGTTCTTCCCATTTTGTTGCCCTTTTTTGTGATGTCGACATAAATGGTAAAGAATTTTTTTAACACGAAAATGAAAACGTTTTAATGATTATATTGCTTATAAAGCGAACTGTGATGTGCATTACCTGTCTTTCAGCTCTTGTTTTTTTTTGTTTGTTTTTTTTAATGACCTGTGCCTGTTCTTTCCGCGACTGGCGAGCTGATGCCCCACCTTTCTGTGAACCTTCCCCTGTCCCTCAGTCTTGTACTCTCCAGTTCTATACAGTACTAACAGTTGTAGTTCCGTGGACGCTTTGCTCTTGCATTCATGTTGAGTGTTATACGTTTTATTGCACTTATGGAAAAGGAAAAAAAAATGTAATCTAATTTCCAAAATAATTGAAGTATGCCACTTTAATACAATTTTAGTTGCTTATATTTTAATCATTAGTTTGTTGTACGTGAGAAGCTTTACCTGCAGCGATTTAAGTCTGAAGTACATTGCTTCATGTCGTGATCTGAAATTTTGTACATGGTATAATACTTGATATGTACTTATTAAATATTTTGATTCCAAAAAACATGTATTTGCCTGTCTTATTCGTGCAAAACAGGGATGGTAAACGTAGCACTTGCGGCAAAGCCTTATGTTGCATTGAACGGATCACATGACTTAATTCATCCTCCCATTTTCCAACCACAGGGTCACGGTTGATTAGGCAGCGTCGAAAACCTGCTTATGCTGTGTTTGAGGGTGTTGGGATGTGTGTTAAAGAGCCATCTGGTGGTTATTTGGTGAATTGCAGTGCTTAAATTTTTTTAAGCATCGGTTAGTAAAGATTCCAGTATGTATATATTTTCATATGAAAGCATGGCCAAGACCCAACAGGACAGGCTTCAGCCAGTGGCCTGAAGGTGACCCCTGACTGATCCCTACAGTTTCAACCAAGAAATGAAAAGAGACGCTGGACATGTGATATTCCTGTCTTTGGCTGCCATCATGTTCCATGAAGTTAAATGGATATATGTAGTTTTTTTTCTAGGCTAAAATATGTAATCATTTTAAATACATTTGCTCCATTAAAAGATGTCTGAATTTTCTTCCGCCTTCGTTTTTGTAACTAAATTTTCACTATCTGTTGTGGATGTAGTCCTTTATTCCTAAATAAGCTCAATGTAACATACCAGGATTACTTGTCTATGGTAAGTGCATGAGAAGCATAAAATTAAATGATTTATATTGTGGAAGTATGACGTTTGAACACCTTTTCAGTGATTTGCAGGGTCTTACCACAGCAGTCCTGGCCATATTGGGGGTTAAACTCTGGAGTTCAGGAAGGTCCAGTTAGTGCAGATCTTCTAGCAAACCACTCCCCAGAGGGAAAAAAAATAACTTCTAGAGACGGAGTAGCTGTGTGGTGTGGTATGTATGCCAGTTTTCGTTGTATCTATTTTTGAGTGTAGACCAGGGCTAAATTGGAAACAGAATTATATTCCCACAAATGACCACATGCTTCATAGTTCATAAGGACTGATATTTGTGTGCAGTTCTCATTTTAAAGGGAAGGAATTCTGAAATGGCAATCAAAAGACCAAGATGCCACACACCACACTGCATCATTCAGCTTTGTGGAAAGTACAGTAGGTTAAACAGGTTTACAGTACATAGTTCTACCCACCTTAGATTCCAAAGCCTCACTGCTTAGAAAACCCATGTGGCAGTACTGTTAGGAGAAACCCTATAGAATCCGTGAGCCACAGAGCAAGTATCTTGCACATTTTATGAACATCTAAATGTTTGTGTGCATGACTGCTTTGTGCCCGAAGCTGCCAGGGATAAGATCCAGCCCTCCCCATGAACCCCAGCAGGAGCTGAAAGATGGATGGACAGATGAAGGGTATCCCAAGGTAGAAACCCTCGAAGAATTCACCCCACACTTGAGAAGAGAACCGACTGCAGGTACCAGCTTGCACTTCAAAATAAAACCCAGAAACCATTAGATCTCACGTTAAAATGTCTTCATAACCAAAGCATGCATACAATTACAAACATGTTCAATTTCTGTTAGCAAGAGTCCTTTAAAGTACTTTTCCAAATCTCTAACAGAGCAAGTACCAAAACACTTGTTTTTTTTAAATCATTTTTATTATCACAGACACACAATAAGGTACCACTATGCAGGTGAACATCAATCATCAAAACTATGTGGGAGTTGGGTATGTAACTTGTGGAGGAATGCTTGACCAAAATTCAATCAGTACAAAGTTCCCAAAAAAAAACTGCAGTACTAAGACATTGTGCACATAACAGAAAAAAAAGCAGACAGCCAGGTTAGTATAACCACTCCATAACTAAGACTAATCACACAAGCTGCAGTCATTCTTCACTTGATTTCTCAATTTTATCTCTTTGGAGCACGTTTGCAGTGTAGATCTAAGTGTTTAGGCTCCATATAAACAGGAACACTAAAGCCATTATGGATTTTCATATGTAACTATTTCTGTGCATTGTCATTAAGTAATGCAGTTTCTTTCAATTATATCCAATCACGGACAGGATAGCCAAGTGTAAAACCTACTCTTGCACATCCACCAAAATTACGCATATTCCTTCAGCTCTTCAAAGCTCATGAAAATTTTAACATATTTCAGGACCATTGGCTTCTCTCAAACACTGAATATACTAAAACTAAATGAGCAAAAACAACGGCAAATGATGCGTATAAAAAGCCACAGAATCTCATTCACGGGAGCCTAAGTCTATGCACTTTCTTGGAACACAAAAAGCGTGGGTGTTTTTAAGCACTTGAGTCACAAGGGGACAGCTGAGGATCTATGGGTCACTGGGGGCGGCATTCTGAATTAGTCTTCATCAGAGGAATCCCTGTCAAAGTTGTAGGCCATGAAGAACACATCAGGTCGAGGTGGGACAGGGGCGTGGCCTGGTTTCACAATCTCAAAGCCCAGAAAGCTGAATGTGCGCAGCAATTTAGCTAGGAGAGAGAGAACGGCATTTTATTATGTACATATATATGCAAAATAAACTTCACTACATGCATAAAGCACACTTTCCAAAACATGTCAGAACGATTTTTAAAAATTACATTTACACGCAGCCATGATTTTATTGCCGTAACTTCAATGAAGGGGGTACAAAATATTACACGGCCGTCTCGTGCATACCTCTGTCATCTCTGTTCTTGTAAAAGCAGACAAATACTGTGACAACGTTCAGATGTTCTTCAGCATACTCCAGAAGAGCTGCAAAACTATTGGAAGAAATGTAAATAACTAAAAACATTTTTTTTTTTTTAAATGTCTCTCTCTCTCTCTTAACTGGCTCCTAACCTCAAATTGCCTTGTTCATATGCCAGTCTGGAACTCCCCCCATACCTCCTGTGAATCTCACCTTTCTTTGCTGCCCTCAGGAAGGGTATCCCGGGGAATCTCCACATAAAGGTTGTCGTCGCTGACCACTGCGTCCCATTGGATCATCCGAGACGCTGTGGGGCAGCTCTTGAAGTGAAGGATCCTGGGACGTCCATTTCCTGCTGGCTCCTCCGTCACTGTGAGCTTCTTGTCCTGGCAAAAGAAGCCAAGGTATTGCACATCCAGCACAGTTCATAAAAACAGAAAACTGAAACATGTTCAAAAGGGCTTTTCAACGGTGTTGAAGGATACATATCAAGCAGAGCACAGGGCTACTCACTGAGTGCAGCGGCCGAGCTGAAGAAGTGTGATCCCATTGACCATTCCCTCGCCCACCTGGGATCTTCAGGGGTGGGAGAGGGGCATCAGGAACACCACAGAGGCCCTGGGCTGTGGGTACTGCTACAGCGCAGAGGCAGCCTGTGTACACGGCAGCCAGAAAGCACAGTTACACACAGAACAGGCATAGACATACCCCAGACAAGCGTATACAAATTCTGTGCATAATGGTTTCATTTTCTTGCCATGTATAATATATGGATTACTCTCCTAAAAGTAAAGGATCGACAAAGACACTAAATGAATTGTACAACGTTACTGTTCCAAATAGGCCATACCTCAATGAAGTCAGTAATTTTAAGTAAGGAAATTTAAAGGGAATGCAGTTTACTAAATTGTGTTAAACATTTATTGAATTTGCAATTTTGGAGTTGGGATTATAACGGAGATCTGGTGAAATGTTGTTTTGATTACTTCAGTTCAGATGAAATATTTTGACTCTCCCACAAATGTGTTTTTAAATGCAAACTTTAACTTAAAATTGGCTGGGGAAAAAAAAAGGGATCGGTCCTTATTGGCCCAAGACGATTAATTGTAATATCATGGATTAAGAATGCTGAATGTAATATTATGAGAATTATTCCACGGCATGCATTTGTGATTTTAATTTAAAAATAAATCCCTCTTTATCGTGTAATATTACAAGTGAAAATAATTCGATTACAATAATCCAAGATAAAATAGAAAACAAATTCACATTAAAACAAAAAGTTCCCAATAATACCGTTACATTGTTACACCCCAGAAACGAGTGACGTCAGAAATAGGAAATCGGCCTAACCATTGTGATGTAGCAGTTTAAGGATCTACGACGAACAAGGCCTTAGGAAAAGAAACCATAATATACTTAGGTATTTAAAGCAATAGCAAGGCCAGAAATCATTTTAAAAGTATTCTTTAATTAGTATGCTTTAAAAATATACATATGTATGCTACAGACAATACAGATCATTTTATCAGCCGTGTTGTGTTTTGATGTCGTTTTGGGCCTTTAATTTTTTTCCCCGTCATACGCGTCACGCAGCTTTACACGAAGAAGCAGAATAATTTTTAAAAATGAGCCAGAATTGGTAACGTCGGGATTATCTACATGTGTATTCCAAAATAGCTGGATTTTGTTTGATTATTCACGTTACACGACAATTATTTACAGCAGACGCTTAGCTACATAAGCTAGCAGCTAAACCAGGAAAAGGGACACGGCGAGCTGTGACGTACGCCGTAATTACCTACCGCTAGCCTACAGGGCGAATAATAAGGCTCGTATACGGAAAATGCAATCGACTATACAACTGAATAACTTCATCAAATAACGCTCATCGATAAATGCGTCAATATGCCGAGTTTCACTTATGACATTTATGCGCTTCCAGCAACTGTATAAAAATGCAGTCTCCCTCCCCCACATTTTTAGCAGTCACTTACTTGCCACTCAAGTCACAAATACTACTACTAAAAGCAGCCATTGTAGTATAACACTGGTGTTTTCCTTCTTTTTCGCGAGCAAAGCAGTGACTATTCAGGATCCGCTGGAGGTTGGATTTTACCATCCGGCCTCGGAGAGGTACACGACGGGCTGACTTCTCACGGCGATCGTCCGATGAAGAATGAGGCTTACGAGGCTGGCGATCGGTCACAAAACTGAGAGCGGCGCTTACGTAGCGGACGGGGGGGGGGGGGGGGGGGGGGGGAAGAGTGCGGCACTGGCTGCTGCAAAGGGGGAGGGAGGAAGCCGGGGCGAGTGGAAAAGTACTGAGATCCCGTGCGATCGCACTGCCCTCATGATTGTTTGGTTACATTATAACCGTCGCATTGTCTGGCTTAATGTGCAACTACTGAAAAATAAAACACCAGCCAGAACAGTGAACGAAGGCCACACCTCGTATTCCAGTTCGTGTAAATATTCGTTTTACATCAATAACACACTCTGTTTTTACACAACTTGTTTTTGTTACCGAATGACACCTATAACACTGGTTAAAAGCAGGTACCATGGGAATGAAACCAAAGTGTTTTCCCCTACTTTTAAAAGCGATTTGATTGTTTTTGGGTTACTAAACCAATCTTGCTAAACATTTCGAAAATGTTCATGGATGATTCACCGCTATATTTTAAAATTTGGCAGATATGTGAAAATATCTACAGAGAAAAAGTAATGTACTTATACGTACCCAGTACAAGCCTATATTAAGTATGAACAAAGCTGTAACCACATTTGGTAATAAGTGGTAACTATAATTTCCCAGTCGGCAGCCATGCCACCTGCTGCTCTGGCTAGGTAATTCATCTGAAGCTAAGCCAGTTTGGGCCTGGGCAGTACTTAGATGGGAGACCAACTAGGAAAGCTGCTGGGAGACGTGTTGGTGTGGCCAGCAGGTTTGCCTGATGAAGGTCATCTTTTGAAAGAATAGGGGTGGTACCCAGATCTCCTGGCTAAAACTGCCCACTGTGGCCCTTTCAGATCTGCCCCCCAAATTATCTCCTGTATCTAATTGGTGAATTCTCCCCCTTCACCACCTTAGCTACTTTGTGAAGAACGTACATGTGCAGAATGGCTGCCATTACATCATCCAGGTGGGGTTATAAGTACAGTGGTGGCGGTTGAAGTGGTTCCCTACTGGTTCTATATAAATGTAACATTCAATTATAATTTACTATGATGCGTCATATTTGCAAGGAAAATTGATCATTTAAATAATAAGTATTAGTTAATTGTCTTTTACTAATTCCTACTAAAACATGCAAATGTAAATATAAATATGAAACACAAACATAAGCATCAGGAGAAGTGGCAGGAAAATGACATATTTATGATCTGTGCTTTTCACTTATGTTACTTTGATATACATAAAAGTAGCTGTTAATTTCTGGCTGCACTCAGAAAGGTCAGCAGTATAATTTCAAATTTTATTAGTATTTGACCCGACCTCCACCAGCCACTCTGACCAGGGTAAAGAGTTAGAAGATGCATAGTAGGATGGATTTTATTCTGATTGATTTATTGGTTGTTTCTCCATATTGGATAGTGCTTAGACATAATGCAAAATGACTATATATTGATTAAAATGTATTGAAACCAACAATGTCATAACTCTGAAACATATTATTCATGAATGTCACAATAACAATAATAAAAACATTGATGTCAACAATAAACAGTAGTACAAATAAAATATTGTTTAACGACACAACATAAAACTGCCCTTATCAGCATTATCACGCAATATAACAGCCAAAAGACACAAACCAAATGCTAACTTTGTTTAAAAATTCATCACCTGAGGTATTTTTGCCTTAAAACGTGATAGTTACATCCATTATCTGTTGTTGAGGTCTCTTCAAACTTTGATACTTTCTGGGGGTTTCATATTCCAGTAATTCAGTAGAAGAATCCACCCATAAAAACATTTGCATAAGTGTTTATCTAATACAGAGTCACAGTGACTACAGTCAAACTCAGGAAACGCATATCACGAGGCCATTCAGTTCGTCACAGAGTGTATGTTCTTTGTAACTACCGCTTGGTAACATTTTCTCCGTCGCAATTTCGTTGCCTTTTTTTTGTAAGAAATACCGCTGACCACTAGATGCCGCCAAAGTTGTAACATAGTATTGTAACATTCATTAAGACAGTGGTACTAAGCAGAGTACAGCTTAATAAATAAACTTCATTGGTAACACACACCCAATTAGACTGCATAGTGGAAACCCTCCCAAGCTCTACTGACCTGCTAGCCTCTTCACCAACTGTGTTTAAACCTTACCCCCACAAAATAACTATTTATGTGTGCTTCCTCACTACTAGTACCAGAGAGACTATAAGACAACAAAGAAAACAAGCGTTTACCACAAATAAATTTGCTAAATAACATAACTTTTTTTGCTCCCAGCATGCTTTGCACTACCAGGAAGTCCTTGCCCTGCTGGGGGTGTGAATGAAAGGTCCTCTTCGGTAGGTGTAGAGTTTACCTGGTCTCCTGGTGTTGGTTGCCTTTCCCCTGCAGTCCAAAGGTGCATTTAGGTGAATTAGTGTTTCTAAATTTCACACTGATTGTGAGTATGTCTACCTTGCAAAGAACTGGCATCTTATCCAGGGCTGTTCCCCTGTCTTGTGTCCTTTATGGCCTGGGATTGGCTCCATTGTGTCCATGTACTGAATAAGCTGTTAGATTATGAACAGAAAGTCCTCTTTTGTGGGTGTTATGCTTACTTAGCGGTCACACCTTCAGGGTTGTGGGTCTACTTCTGTGTTTGCTCTGTGTTTGTGGAGCTTGGATGTTCTCCTTACCTTTGTATGGATTTGCTTTCATAAATGTGGGTTAGTTGACTGGTGTCTTTAGATTGCTCTTATTGTACAGACCTGGCACCTTGAGTCCTATCCTTCCTGGGTTAGGCTCTAGGCTTATTGTGACCATTCAGTGTCCGCAAAAATCCAAGTAATTGATATATTGGATTTCAGGCTGTACACCTACCTTTGAAACTACCAATAAAAGCTCATTCTTTGCAGGTGAAATACAATAATTCTAACATTATTTATAATATTACTTAACCTAAAGTCAGCTTTTGCCCCAAAGCATGAAAGGTTAATGGTGTGGCATTCTTTTTATTCCTAAAAGGTTTGTTACTGAGGGGCTGACTTGTTCAAATGAAATGCGATTGGTTTCAGTCATAGCACAGCTCCACAGGTCAGTCTATTTATTTTTATGTGGTAAACATCTGTATTCTCGCTCATGTTGCCATACGAGGCTCGGTGAAGTGAAAAAAAGGCCAGCGCAGGCTTGTTCACTTCCTGTCTTCTCCCTCGCAGTGAAACTTTTTAAAAGCCATCTGCAAAGTGTAGGCTTTCAAGACTAAAATGCTTAGAGTAGAGTAAACCTGATACTCTGATAATCAGATAGCACTATGCCCATATCAGGTATTTTTGTAATGATTGGTGACATTTTGTTTAACATTGGCCGCTCCCTAAGTAGGATACACTGGACGACCAGGTACCTGTCAAACAATGATGTCCCTTTTGTCTAGAACAATTCATATGTAGCGTTTTGAAGTCTAAATATATGTGCATGTTTAAATTTAAATTTATAACATCAGTCCATCAATATTTAAAATAAATCCATGATATATTTAAATTTGCTTGTAAAAGTCACTAAAGACAGATGTTGTAGGAAAATATGTTTGAACAGTTTTTCTTTCTGGCGCTTCTTCATCACAGAAAAACAATGGTTATGTACTAGCCAAGCAAAATAACAGGATTATTATTGTCAGGTATATTACTGAATACAACTCCAGTAAACAGTTGAAAAATCATTGTGGCAGTATTACTGAATTTCTATTTGACTAAATACCTAAAAAGTACATATCTTCAATATAAAATTATATGATGTGCAACCAGGTGAAAAGAACATGATCTAGTTGTGTGCATAGATGGATGTTTTTACTGTAATAATTCATATTAAATATCTCACTAAGGGACACTTTGACAACCATCTTTATATAAGATATAAAAACAAAAACTTGATTACGAAACCAAGACACCACTCAGATTGAAAATGCTAAAAATTCATGATGTGAAAACATATATACAATTTTATTAGATGTTATTAAATAAGTCAACAAAAAGAAATACAAGCCGTCATCACAGATATAGTGACAAAAATAGCGTCAATAACAAAAAAGGAATATATTAAAAATGTCATCCAGCTCTAGAGCATTGCCAGTGATTGTTTATTAGAAACAAACCTGGACAACACAGCTGTTCACAAGCAAAATATATAAAGCAAGGACAGAACAAACATTCCTGATTGGCATTTGTCAAAATTTTCAAACGAATTCCAGGAAAAATATAACTAATTAATAAAACTAGTCAAAACTATAAATATATTCTCTTATGGATCAGATCCATTGCAATTTAGACCTGCTTGGCTCAGTATTTAATTATTCTACAAGGGCTTGCTTGAAAACCCAGTTTCACATACAAATATCAATAAGGATTCAAATGAAAATTGTGTATTTATAGAATTCATTAGCTGCTTAAAAATGCAGGAGTAACTGAAGGCACTGTAGCTTTATAAAGTCAATAACGAAAAGCAAGATGCAAGTGGCCCAAGCAGAGTGGCACTAAGCTCTCTAGTTTTAGCGAAGCTCTGTCCTCATTCTCTAGCGATGGACGTCACATGGGCTAATTCACAGACCAAAGTGCTTTGGTTGGTTCAGTGGATGACTGATTTGTTTAAACTGGCTGTAACATCTTAACGCTTATGCACACCAAGCATTTCACAGAGGACACATGCTTTCAAAATACAAAATAACTGTAATATATTCTTTAAATTTCCCTGGAAATGTGTTAAGAAGTTACCGTATTTTCACATTAATTTTTTTCTTTCATTCACATAACTGTATGGCAAATATGATAAATACTGGTTAGTGCAATGTCATTATGTTTTTCAATAATGGTCTATAAGTAACCAAATTAGACAAGTGGACAGTGGAGGAAAAGACATGCTCATTGTAATTTTTGGTTCTGACTAGTTTATATATGTGAACTGCTAAAGATGTGTACAGATGGAAACCTACGACATAAGTATATGTACAAATATGGGTCATACTCAAGAATATTTGGGTATTAGTACAATATATTTCTGTTTGATCTATGAATCATAAACCTAGATGTTTAATTTTTTTGTCAGCTACACATAATTTACAGTACCAAATGTTTTCTTGTCCCCAAAACAAGGCCGGACGTCATTATTTTACAAAGCACTTGTTTGGGCAATTGATTTAATATTTCCTCATAAGATTAAATACAAAGTAATAAAAAATACTTGTATGGCAGGATGGTTAATGATTTCCAAACCCCAGCTTTGCTCTTCCGTTCAGGCATATCAGGTAACATCGCACGCTAGGATATCAACAGTGTACATTTCTGCCTTTAATACTGAGGTCCATGTTAAGCAAGAAGTCTGATCTCGGAGAACAATAGATAATTGTACTGCTCCATTCTTGGCAGTGCCATGAACCTCTTTAATCTTTGTTCACGCACTCCCCGTTTCTTCGTTTAAGAGCCAGCCAGTGATGGCCGGCTTCCGTTCATCTAGGAATACCAGAGAGGCTAAATATCGGTAGCCATGATCACGCGTAGCTCGGCAGCGGGACGGACGCGCTGGGAGTGGGACGCGGCAGAAGCGAGCCGCCTGTTACTTGCGGGAGTACAGCTGCCCTGCGGTGTGGCAGAGGGACAGTGGGTGGGCGCTGGAGAAGTACTGGCAACACAGCCAGTCCTCCAGCTCGGCGGTCCGTTCGGGCTCCAGCGAGCGCTCGGCGAACTTCATCATCAGCAGGGCGCGCTTCACATCCAGCCAGTTGAGCAGCCCGTCGTGGCGGGCCAAGCCCCCGGGCCGGTCCCACTGCTGCTCCATGAGGTCCCGGCGTGGCCCCCAGAGCAGACACTGCAGCACTCGCTTCGCCTCCTGGATGGGGATCCGTTTGATAGGATCGGGCTGCAGGAGCAGGTGCGCCAGTCTCTGCAGGCCCGGCGAGTAGATGGACACGGGCGGGATGGGAGGTAACTCCTCGCAGCGATAGTCCTGATGCTTCAGCTCGGGGTTCATCTCGAAGGGGTTGGGCTGGTGCAGCAGCTCATAGATCAGGATGCCCGTCTGGAACTCGTCGAACTTGCGGTACTGGGAGGCCGACACGATCTCGGGGGCCAGGCGGGCGTGGTCCTTCCTGAGGCGCGGGTCGGCGGCGGTGGCGTCGGCGGCGTTGCGCTGCTTGGACTTGGCGAAGCTGCTGATGAGCAGGCGGGGCAGGTGGGTCTGCTCGGCGCCGGGTTCCAGCGACCGGCCAGGCACCAGGAGCAGGTTCTCCAGGCACAGGTCGCGGTGGCTCACGCCGTGCTCCTTCAGGTGCTCCAGGCCGTTGCACAGCTGCAGCAGCAGGAAGCAGACGCGCCGCTCGTAGGTCTCCGGCTGCACCCGGTGGAAGTCGGCCCACCCGCGGACGAAATCGGCAGCGGTCTGCCGGGGCACCTCCCGCGTGATCACCACCACACGCTCCTGGCCGCCCGGTCCCGGGGACCTGGGCTCCGCATCCTGCAGCAGCATGCTCTGCGGCACGCATGCAATGAAGTGCCCGCAGTCCTGCTGCAGGTTGAAATGCGGCGGCATGCTCTTCTGCACCGACAAGCCATAGATGTCGCCCTGTTTGCTGTCTGGAGTCTGACTCTTACAGATCTAGGAGGAGAGTAAAGGAGTTATAGACACACTGAGCCCAGTTTGGGATCTCAGAGAGTACTGAGCTCCTGAAATGTCTCCAGAGCGGAGCTGTTTTGACCAAGACAACAGACTCATATTAGTGTAACTTTTTATGACAGAAACATTTTCCTCAACCGATGTGCTGTTTGTTTCTGGAAACCTCACTTGGATAAAGATCTTTTTGAAATCAAAAAATAAAATTTTGATGATTTCGTTTGAAGAGCATAAATCCAGAGGACTTTATGTTTTTGCTGACACTACACATGCTACTTAATGAAGTCCTGTTAAAGAGAACAGTTAAGATGGCATTACAGAGTCATGACATTACGCTCCAGGATATCAAGTGTAATGCTGACAAAACAGAAGACACTGTTTTTCTATTTTTTCTATGAACCAAAATCGATACACAGCATTAGGACATAAAGAGAGAAACACGTCTGTTTGTCTACAGTGTCACAACATGGCAGACTTACGGCTGGTGATTAATATATAACTCACACTGCAAATGCAGTGACAAAGTTCTATAGAAAACCTCTTTAATGCGTAAGATGGCGTCAGGAAGGAGACGGCCCATTTCGGTGGCATTCCGTGGTGCGCCTTGCTAGGGTGTATGTCGTGCTAATGATTTCAGGACAAAGGTCACTCTCCATGAATACACACCCTTCTAGAACAAACTACACAGGACAAGCCCCCGGGAAAAGTGAACTGTGTCAGTTTTCCTAAAATGAGAAGAATGTACTTACTTTAACCTATTGTTACGGGTTAAATAGACTTCACAGTTTCCTTCAAATTATTTGGGAGAGGTCTATAGAAACGTGAAATTTTACTATGATTGATGGGTAGTTCCACATTATCCTATCAGAAGGTTCCACCCCTATCTTAAGATCTTTTTCTCAAAACAGTATTCATGTAATATAACTTGGACTAACGTGACTACCTTTCCACTCACTTGCCTATTCACCAAGTATCAATAAACTGAAACAATACAATGGGTAACTGTAGACTCAAACAAAATGGTAACTGTACCTTAACGGCGTAGGAGGTCTTGGGGTCAGATGCACAGGAGGCTGAGTAGTACACAGCATCACCTGCATCACAGCAGGGTTTGTTACAGGTGAGTTTAAACAGGGACCAGTTGCTTTCGTCGAAGTGCAGCGGGTTTCTCTGGCTTCGGGTGAAGTGCTCTTCACACTTGAGAGCCAGACGGCGGAGCGACTCCGCATAGAGACCGCCCAACTTTGAGTAGATGCCCTCGCGGCTGTCAATGTTGCTGAGTAGAGTCTGCAGGTGCAAACTGGAGCCAGCAGAGTGGGAGTGGTGGGGGAGGCTCAGCTGAGGGGACGATGACGAGGTCACACCCCCACGTAGATAACCCCCAAACCGGCTCCGTCCTCTAGTGGGTGGCTCATCCAAGGTCTGGGAGCGATTGAGCGCCGACGGGTAGCACTCCAGGGACTCGCTGGAGGAATACTGGTGCCGTGGATCAATTGGACTCGAGGGTTGACTAGACTGGGCTCGTTCGGGATGGGCAACGTTGGTCTCGGAACCTCCAAATGGGAAGCGTGGGCGTCCCCGGGGAACGGGCTTGCCGCTCGGACCGCCAGGTGCTGATGCGGCGCGACTCAGCAGCTTCTTCTCAGGAAGTGGCGGTGGCTGAATCTGATCCAGAACCAGGCCAGGGAAAGGGTCCGGATGTAGGGACACTGGGGAGGAGGTCAGGGGACTGTTTGGAGAGTCCTGGTAGCCTAAAGAAACATACACAGTGTATTTTTATACAGCTGGGATTTGACTGTAAAAAAGAGAAATCAATACTATTTTCGAAATTTTCAAGAAATTGAGTTAACAAAGATCATCCAAAAAAAATGGCTAAAATGATGTGGGAAAACATCAGAAAAGAAAGTAAACATTTGTATTTGTATGGAAAACTGCATTCATTCCATCCAATTATTGTGACTTATCTAGTTTGGGTCCCTATGAATCGGAGCTATTCAATAAGCCAGAGCACACGCTCGAAGGCAGGAATTATTCTGAATTATTCATATATCTACGTGTACAGTGAAAGCGTGCAAAGTAGCTAATTATGTATTTCCCGTTTCATATGGAAATGTCTTTAACACCGAATACAGTGAAGATGAACTTCACTACCTGGAGGCATCTATAACACAAGCTCAACTTTTAATTGCGTAAGAATTCATCTCAGAGGCAGATATTCACCAGTGTCAGTGGACCATGTGCTTGCATCTGCACCACTGATTTGTTGTGTCCCCTCTCATAAATATTTGCAAAACAAAAGGTCGCTATAAACTCTCAAATGAATTCATGGAGTTTTTGAACGATCAGGTAAAGGAATGAAATATCAACTTAAAACGGCATTGGCAAAGTAAATTAGATCAGTGAACCCTGGATGCCAACATATGCAAACATTTAAGTTAATATACAGAACCTCCTCTACTTACGAATGACATACGTTCCGAACGACCGTTCGTAACTTGTAATGTTCGTAAGTTGTTATTCAACATCATTTTAAGGGTATACACAAGTACTGAGAACTTGGATGCTAAGAGTACACACGTTGCGCTGCTGCGGGAGTAGCAGCCAGATGTGCTAGGCGGAATTGTGTCGCGGACAGGAAACGGGAGCCCAATGAACACAATTTGGACTTACAGTCCTCTTCGTTCATATGTCTGAAAGTTCGTAAGAGAATGCTTCTAATGTAATTCAAAAGGTTTTAGGTGATCTGACATGACAACTCAAATCAAATCAGTACTGTTAGGAAGATATTTTAAACTGGCAATTCTATATGTGACACTGATATTTTGTATAGACGATATTCCCTGGAAAATACCTGCATGGGATTTCCAGGCTTATGCTGGAAAATCAGTAGGAAAAGTAGGTAAAGTGCAGCAGGAAGAGGACTTGCTTGTTTGATGAGGGGCCTCCCTGCTTCACTCTGCTGTCACAAACGCTAAACAATGACAACTAAGCATTCCAGACTTTTTCACTTGCTGGCTGGTCTCCATTGACTGTTACCCACAGCTAAAGCCAATTACTGCTTTTCTCTAACCTCTGACAATACTCCCACTGTGCTCCGCCACCCTACATCCGCTGCGGCCGAGGTCTCGTCAAACGAGGACGCCGCATGCTTGTGGCAGACAGCCTTGACTAGAAGGTTTCCTGAAAGCTATCAGCCAATGACCACGTCAGTATATCGCATTGTTTTTCATTCCCTTCCTGAAAATAATTCCCTCCAACACATTTTGTTCTGGGCAAAGCCTCCCTAATAAAAAATTTATGTTGCTCAACATATGCTACTTTCGAGCTCTGTGTAAATGATCTGCAGAGTCAGTACACCAGCTATGAGGTATTAGGGACAATGTGTGACTCTGCAGGTTAGGAACCTGCAGTTATAATCAGGAGGTTGCTGGTTCAAATCCCATGGTTGCCAGTATGATTTCACAGCTATTCCCTTGAGCGAGACCCTTAACCCCAATTGCTCCAGGGACTGGCTGACCCTGAATTGAATGTCACTTTGGGTGAACACGTCTGCTAAAAATGTAGATGTATTTCTTGACATTATCTTCAATTACACCAACTAAGAATCCCAACTTCAGTTTGGAAGATGGCATTTTCAGTGTGTTTGTAGTGACTGAAATGATGAAACCAACACGGCAGTAAATGTTGTGGCAACAGCACATCTATTCAAGTTTTCTCTGGTTCATCATTTTTTTTTTCTTAAAGAAAACGACAGTGCTACTGACAAATCAGAAGACACGACACGATTTTTAGCTGTGTGTTTCCAAGATAACGATAAAGCTGAGATGTGCTGAACGCCCGGACTTGCAGCTTCCCCTTTTCTTTAATGTGTTTGAAGAGCTTGACTTTTTGTAGCTTCTCCTTCAGGTTTAATTAAACCTCGAGCTAAAGCAGAAACCTGTGGCCCACATCAAAGGGCTTTTCAAGGCTGGGGTCTTCTTCAGCAGCCAGTGTCAGCAAAGCCAGCACATGTTCAAACAGGTGTGAATTCTCATCCTAACTGGTATTCATTTCCTATTTCCAGTCCATGGTTGAATCTCTATTATACAAAAAAACCAGTGACAGGAAAAGAATCAGAATTTCCCTTGATACCGGCATATTTTCAAATTTTTGTGTTTCTTTTCTTTCCATCCATCCATCCATCTCTCCATCCTTCCATCCACCCATCCTCTAAATGTTTATCCTGGTCAGGGTCACGCGGAAACCTGGAGCCTATCGCAGGCATTGTAGGGTACAAGGCCAGGGGACAGTATGGATGGAATGCCAGTTTGAGTAATGTGCATGTTACTCACATAGGAATAAGGTGATTTACATTTTTAAATCATTTTTACTGATTTTTTGTTTCTTTAAAAAAACCTGAATGGTAACTACCACAACTTTGTATTGTCAGAGCAGGGTTCCTGATTGTAGTCCTGGAGGTCCAGAATCCAAAACAGTTTGCAGAGTCCCCCACTCAAATACACCTACTAAACCTGGTAATTGGCTGAATAAAGTGTGTTTAAGCAGAAACTGGTTTTCGGATTCTGAATCTGAATTTGCTATTGTTACATTCTGTAGCTATTTGAGCATTTGCTATTGTTACATTCTGTTGTCGTTACTATGTACCGCCAAAGTTTATTACTTTTAGGTAGCTAGGTATTAACTTTTCACTTTGGTTAGGGTTTTATTGCTCACTGATTTACAGACGCACATTTCACCTCTGATTGGGTGGCAAAGATACCAACTGGTGCCTAATATCTACAGTAACTAGTGGGTCTGTATCTTCAAGCAAGTTACACAAATCCTTACGTCAAGAAATCCATTATATCTATTAAAGAGAGTCAGCCTGCAGCCAAACAGGCATAAATAGCTTGTATTTTCTTCGTTTATAATTCTGTGACTCTTTGATGAATTACAGTTTTTATAGGATAATAAGAATATTGTAAACCTTTAAGTACTTATACCAAAACCAAATAATATCTGCTTTCAAATTAGCTATAAATATTAAACCTGCAAAATAAACCTGTAAAATAAACAATATATTACATAAGTCATTATATGCAAAGCCTGTATTGTACCCCAGGGCTATATGTAAACAACAGTCAAAGCTAATGTGTCTTTCAGGAACAGGTGCATACACAGGTTTCACAAGATATGATCTGCAGGCTACAGAAATTAAGATTAAGTGTTTTTTTTATTTTATTTCCACCTGTCCATGCCGAATGCTGTCACTGCATTTCATTAAACTGCACCCAGGTGGTATTGAGTAAATGCTGCTCACGCTGTCACATGCATGTGAGGAGGACGGTGGCCACACTCACCCCCATCAGGAAAAACCTTGGAGTCACAGTGCAGGCTGTCAGAGGACGCCGAGGCCAAGCTGCCGCTCAGTGCCCTCAGAGACTGGGTCAGGCTCTCCATGGACCCCTGACGACTGGCTCTCTCTGAGTCAAAGCTGCTCTGACTCATCTTACTGGATGACCTGTAAAGGAGGGAGGAGACACAACACTTTTGAACCAATCAAAAGAAGTAGTTGTCCAGGATTTTTCCCCCTCCTTTTGTAATCAGACACTTGGATTGGGGTGTTGACTGTATTTACTAGTAATACGTTAAAAAATAAAAGTGACAAGCACAGGACTTCCCTATATAGAATGATTTATTGACTTTGTACTAATACCCTTGCCTAGTGATTAAATACCATCATCACCATGTAACAAAATACAAAAAGCCACTTCTATTTAAATGTTAGCTAATTTAAAAGTATAACTAGCTTTTTCCTGTGAATATTTCAATGTTTAAACACCGGATTTGTAAGACAAAGAGCATATATGACTCCTGTTTTAAAGTATATTTTAAGAATTGGCTTGCTGGAAATATCTGGGGAATCACCCAGGATGCGTTGGAGCCATAGGCCACGCAAGAAGAGCTTGGTCTGACCTTCCTGGCGTGCCGCTGCCGGGGCCCTTATCCGGAAGAGCCGTCAAGGTAAAGCTACATGCTAGAAACACTTAATACCGACAACTGGAGCAACTGGAGCGAGGAAAAACACCATGTCTGTATCTCGCCAGGTTTGAAGCTTGGGTCAACACAACCCCAGGTATCCCTGCAAAGTAGGCATTACATACCATTAAAAAATCAGCCATTTATTCGGAGCTTCCTGTTCCTGTCTCAACATGGACTCATAGGATTGGAATGGCTTTTTTTTTCCTTTTTCTCAGAAAGATATATGAACAGAATCTCAAAGAAAGGCATACTGGCAAGTGCCGAACAGCACATAGTACTTATCTTTGTTCAATGCTGAACAGCAGCTTCCCTTAAATAAAACTGAGATCATGGGGTGTCAACTTTGTCATAGACAACAAAAGTCATGTTAGAAGGAACTGCATAGTATCTGTAATAGAATTATTTATATTTAATCTTATTTACATTTTAAATGTATTCATTTTAGAGTTTACTGTATATTATATGCAATTATAGTTACCATTTTAATAAACCTTCCAGCGCAAACTAGGCCTTCATAGGATTTAAAGATAAAGTTCATTTGCCCAAATACAGTTATCTGTCACCAGAAGAAAAATATTCATCAATGACTGAGTCTTCTCTACCCTTTCCAAAACACAAGGTCCAAGTGGAAAAGACATTCGGGATTCTACTATCTCCTCTGTCCACTTTCCTTTCACTCGGTCAAGTAACATTACTAATTTATTCCTGTTAAAGAAAACTTGGCATGTCAGAACAACAAAAGCTATGTGATGAAAGCAAATGGCTTTAACAAAGGTTCACGGCGGAGATTTCAGCTTCACGAATTCATGTTTCAAAATCCTTCTCCACACCCCCTCAAAGCGGTAACACTATCCCTCTCCTCAAATACAACCCAATGCGGCAGAATGCAAATCTAAAGACCCATATAATCCATAGTCACATGATCAGCGCAGACCAAAGGCACGGGCCTTTTATAACTTATGGCCACAGTAAATCCCAAAAATCCCAAGCCTGACAGTTTTGCAGCCACTGGGACTAACACTTCAACACACTGTTATGTGTGTTGCACATCGTCAAGCCATATAATGCACTGGGACTAACACTTCAACGCACTGCAATGTGTGTTACACACCCTCAAACCATATAATGCACTGGTCAGCATTTACTACTTCTAATCAAACAGGACAGAGACAAGTCTAAATAATGTTTAAAAAAAGTTACAAAAGGTCTTTAGCCAACTAATGTTTTTAGTAAATCAGAGGGTTAACATCACCCGTAGGGCTACAGACCATGGGTGGCACGATATAATTGTTATATTTATGTACTTTGTATATCTGACAAATTGCAGGTTTCAACAAAAACAACAATTTGCATAACTGATGGCTGACTGTCTTTATAAAAGCACAGTAAGCTAATTTCAAGACAGCTACAAAAATTATAAAAGGAGAGACTCAACACAGGTGATACAGGTCAGTGTTTACACATCTGCAGGATGCAAGATTCCGGTCTGTACAGATACTCCCACAAAGACACAACCCTTGGGAGTTTTAAATTCCACCTGCTCCGGCTATGTATGCTATGTATCAGAGGTGGATAGTTCAGGTCCAGAAAGTCAAAATCCAGACCAAGATTTTGTTTCAACCAACCACTCACCTGGTTGTCTGAAACAAAATCTTGGTCTGGATTATTACTTTCTGGACCTGAACTATCCACCTCTGCTATGCATGAAACTAAAACTGTATGCTAATTTTCTCAATACCCACAGTGTCTTTTAAGCTCTTTTTATAAAACTGCTTCATCTGCAGCAGAGAATCCTCACATAATCAATTTAATGCAAGCGGATCTGATATCAAACACAGATGTCAATAAATAATGCAGAACAGGCCGTTTAAAAAGGCCAGAAGTTGCATTGCTTACCTGGGTTCTAGTGCTAATGAGGGAGCGCGGTGCTGCAAAGCCACAAATGCTCAGCACTCGCCTTGCATTTACAAGCCAGTCCTTTGGTGATGCCTATTTTTAAGTCCATAGCTGCACTACATGTATTTTTCTCCTTTTCACAAACATCAACAAAGAGGCAGCACACTTAGAAATAATATTAATAAAACAGACAAACTTAGAGGAAAATGTTGAGTTAACATCCCATGTTAAAAGTTAATGGAAATATATATATATATATATATTTTAATAATAATTGATTTCTGGTGCAGACAAACAGAACGTGAATACACCAAGGGAACATAAAATAAGATTCACACTAAACATTAAAACCAAAAATAGCTACATGTTCCAACAACCTACCTCTGTTCGAAACATCCCTTCATGAAGGTCCCTTTAAGAATGCAATAAAAAGGACTCATACATTGTATGCACTGAACGTCCCTTCACAATCCAGCAGCAAGCCCAGCAAGACTTCTGGACAACTGTCCTGTTTGGTCACAGTGACGAAGGCTCATGTGTTAACAAGTAAAAGCTGACTCAGGATAAAGTAACCCAGCTCGTGGCCCTGGAGAACCGCAGTTCACGTTGGTTTTTATTTTTACTCGTCGACAAGATGCTATCTATTCTCGGTCATCCAGCAGGAATAATCCGAGCCGTGGAGAACGGAGGTTCTGGACGATGTTCTATCCTGACTGAGAGGAGAGGGCCAGTTGCTGGGGGCAACAATCTGCTCCACTGAGCTGCCATGCACAGCCTCCAACGCTCCTCTCAGAAACGTGCTGCTTAGGCTCCAGCTTACAGGCATGTCCATAAATACCATGTGAAGCTTTACAAATGTACTGTAAACTCTGAGCTTAAACAACAGTGTCATTGTTTCATATAAATTAATTTTATTCTATGTATTTTTGGAGAGTTTGAGTATTTGTATGTGTTTTAATTTGTGTTCCTATTAATCATCTCTGCATGTATGTATATGAAATGTTTGTCTTTTTTCTTATTTGCTGCCATCTTGGCCAGGACTTCCTGGAAGAAGAGATATTGTATCTCAATGGAACTTTCCTGGTAAAATAAAGGATAACTAAATAAAACTGAGATGGGATGTATTATAGATGGCGATGATCATGCTTTAGAAACAGACAGATTTCGAAACATCTGTGCCCTAAATGATTAATGGCAGGCTTGCATTATTTTCCGCACCCCTATAACACTGTCCGTCCTGCCATCAGAAGCAGCACCAGCACCCGCCTGCCATCACCTGCCTGTCCCCCCCCCCCAGCCAGCTCCCCACCTGCCATCACCTGCCTTCCATCTCCCTGCCTGCCATCACCTCCCCCCCAGTCAAATGTTAAAATTGGGACAGTGTGAACTGGGACTTTGCCAGTTTGCTCATTTGACTTCCTCCCAAGGTTTCTTCCCTCTGGGGAGTTTTTCCGTGCCACCGTCACCCCTGGGTTGCTCACTGGGAGCTTTGTTAATGTAAAACACTTTGAGACAATGTAATGTTGTGAAAATGCGCTATACAAATAAAACTGAATTGAACTGATGGAATAATGAATACATTATGTGGCTCCAATTGGCCACGTTCCGCCACATGAGATGGATTTTAAATGACGGCAACAAAAGTACATTTTGCATAGCCCATAAAAATAAGGAGTAATTCTGAGTTTCATCCTGTGAACCAATGATAATACTGCAAGCATCAGCAGCAAAGATCAGTGACAAGCGGCAAAACGGTTAGCTCTGGCCTCAGACATGTTCAGACATACGCCCAAACAGTGTATTTTTACCGCTGCACTATGCCGGGACAGATATAAGAGGAAGTTGTGTTGCCTTGCTAAAATTACAGATCTAACAAAAGTAAGGGCCTAGCTAAGCCCGGACTGCTGTGAGACGCCAGACTGACACTTCGTGGGGACATTAACCATGGCTTTTTGCGCGAATAAAGCAGAACTGGGGTGTCGAAATTCACCACAATTCATATAACTGACCTCAAATCATTTAAATGAAACTGATGCAACAATTATACTAAATAGGATCCAAAATACAGAATAAAGCAGGTTGGTAACAGTCTTTGTTCTCAACTTTAATAGCTAATGTACATATGGGGGAAATCACTACAGCTACTGGCATAAGCCTCTTAAAAAAGAACATTTATTGATTAAGCAATTGAGCTGAGCTCATAACTGTGAATGTGAAAGTTTGCATTACTATATTTAATTTCACCAGACATCTTTACTCAGAAATCTACAAAAAGGACTTTCTTTTTGAAAACTGTCAATTGGCTATTTATTTAGAGGGACAAATACAAGTCATCTCATTGCTCTTCAGTCAAAATTTAAAATAATGCTGACAAACCAGATTTGAGTTGCCCTTTGTGTTAAATAATAGCCATGAAACACTTTGCATCCATTCAGTCACATTCCTACTGATGACCCTGTCTAACAGAAAAGGCACATTCCAGAACAGTTTTAGAGAAGAATCCTAACAGGGGATGGTGTAGGACAGACCTTAGCATGAAACGGGATCTTACACAGGAGGTCCACCACACACACGCACAATGGCATTTAACCCCAGACTGAGCTACTGCCTTCAGACAGGTATTTAAGAGAATAAAACCCAGCATACGGAAACTAACTGAAGACTCATTTACAGGCATCTCTTAACGATTTGTATATTTTATATGTTAAGGTGATATATTCACTCTGACAGTAAGGAAAAACACAATTTAGAATGCATCCTCGTTTACTGTATAACACCACATCCAAAAAGACATTTTACACCATTAGTCCGAATAATCAGCACTGAGCGCGACTTTCCATGGCAGTAATTCTGATGGTAGCTCTCCATTAATAAGTATAAACTAGAGGAAGCACCTACCTGTGGTGTTTCTTAGGTGGAGGTGGAGGTGGAGAGGGAGAGGGATCATGGTTCTCACTGAGCCCCGCTGATAGATCTGAAGCGGCTGACGCGACCTGTGACAGCATTTTCCGCCTCTGGCTGTCGTTCTCCACGGCGCTGCCCTGGTGCTGCTGACTGGCACCATTGTCGGCTGTGCCTGGCAGCAAGATCTCCCCGCCGGGTACCACGGGGCTCCAGGCCCCTGTCTGCGACACAGCAGCCTCATTGATGATGCTCTGAGGCACGGTGCCCTCGCCTCCTTCCTCCTCCTCCTCGATACGAGTCTTCCAGTTCCAGTGTGTGTTGTACAGCTTGTGTCTCCGCTCCGAGCAGACCAAAGTGGGCGAAGAACTCGCAGCATTTTCCTGGAGCTTTTCCAGAGTAGCTGTAGAAGACGTTGCGTTCGCGTTAACACAGGACTGCACTTCTGAGGGATGAAGGGAACCCAGACTGGAAGTCCCCAGTTTTGGGGAGTTTGAAATCCTCTTGGGAGGAATGGGAGGACTAGCTTGAGGCTTGGCTTGGGTAGAAGGCACAGCCAGCTGTGTGCTGCCACAGCTTGAAGGCCACTTAAAGGACAGACCGCTGGGGTCCTTGATGGAGTTTGGGCTGAAGTGCGGCCACTCAGTGCTCACAGCTGAATCGGGGCTACTTAGGTAGAATGTGCAATTGCTCTCCTCCGTGTGGGCCATGACTGTGATCTTAGCCCTCTGGGCTTCTCCAGTCACCTCCACTGGGCTCTGCTGGGTCTGCCTGTTACCCAGTGGCGCCCTCTTCCTTTTCGTACTCTCTGCATAAATCGGCTCGGCGCTCGCCGACCCGCTTCCTTTGTACGACCACGAACTGTCTGGAGACGCCAAATTTTGGCGGCTCTCTGATACAGACTGTCGAAAAACATCCAGTCCCTGTGAACACGTGAGTGAGTCTGTGCTGCTTCGGTAAGAGCTGGAATCTGATAGGCTGGTTGGCTCAGACAGGAAGGAAGAAGATCGGCCACAAGGACGACTGATCGGCAAGGCAGAGTCCGGAATGAAGCTGGAAAACGAGGAAGTGCATGATGACTCATGTAGAGTCTTTTTTGGGGCATGAGAAATAACACTGTTAGTCGGTTCCAGAGGTCCGTTCTGCTCCTGTGTTGATTGGCCTTCAGAAATATTATCATTATAGGCATCGCTGTTTGTTCTCACATGTAGCCTCTGGGCAGAATCTCTTGGTTGGCGTGAGCCGTTTCTCAGACAAGTGATCTTGCTTTTCCCGGTGATCCGTTGGGGGTAGCCATCTCCGGTGCCGTTTTCTCTGAA